CGCCGGGCCTGCGGCGGGAGCGAGCCGACTCTGTGAGCAGGACGCACGTGTCCCAGCGGTGGCCTAGCCAGCCTCCTTTCTGCCAAACTGAAGGAGGTTCAACGGGGGGTGCCAGAGCCTCGGTTTTGAATTTTTCTCCTTTAATTGTTGTTAACCCTGGTCCCACTGACCGTAGTCACACCCAGGGCTCCTGGGACACGGAGTGTTGGAGGCAAGAAGACTGAAGAACTTGAAAGCGTTCTAGAAGCAAGGAAGGTGTAGACGTTTGGCAGTGGGTGCTTTTTTCTTTTAATATATTTTTATTGATTTCAGAGAGGAAGGGAGAGGAAGAGAGAGATAGAAACATCAATGATGAGAGGGAATCATTGATTGGCTGTCTCCTGCACGCCCCCTACTGGGGATTGAGCCTGCAACCTGAGCATATGCCCTTGACCAAAATCGAACCCGGGACCCTTGAGTCCACAGACCGACGCTCCATCCACTGAGCCAAACCAGCTAGGGCAATTGGTGCTTTTTAAACATTCCCCAGGAACGTGACACTGGGCCGGGTAAGTTCCTTGGATTTGCTGCCAGGCGGCGAGGCCTCCGGTGAGTGTCATGTTGTCCCATAAACTTGCTGTCTCCTGGGAAGTGGCCCCTGGTGCCCGTGGGAGGCTCACCAGCTCACTAGTTTGGGGCTCTGCTGCCCACGCCAGGATGGGACCCCCAGCGAGGGCAGCAATTCCCTACCTGAGTCTGACATGACGGGGCACTGCCCGGGGAGTCACTGCAGAGCATGCTCAGTCCTCACGTCCCACCCCATGGACACGAGGGCGCGAGGAGCAGGCCACAGCCTCAGCCTCTGGGACAGACGGACCCCGCGGAGGGAGCTACACGTAGTGGACATGTGGCCTAGGCAGGTACAGTCACCCCTGAGCCTCCACTTGCTGACCTGTAAAATAGGGAGAGTCATGGTACTCAGCATAGAGGGGCCTCGAGGACAGAAGATGAGGCGTGAGACGCACTTAGCTCAGTGTCCACACATAGTAGGTGCTCAGGAAACAGGCGCTAGCTTGTCTTACAGCCACACAGCATGGAGATGAAAAAGCTGGGTTTCCAGTGACCCTTGGTGGGTCCAGGGGCACCGCTGGACGCCCGGTCACCACTGCTGTCAGGCCCGCCTTGGGTTTAACCCCTGGGTCTGGCTCTTGCCTATTCCCACCCCCCTGCCGTCCTAGCTCAGGCCCCATCGGGTTTCCTTGCAGAGTAAAAATGCGCCTCACAGCCAGGGTGAGTACGACGTCTACAGCACCTTCCAGAGCCACGAGCCGGAGTTCGACTATCTCAAGAGCCTGGAGATAGAGGAGAAAATCAACAAGATCAAATGGCTCCCTCAGCAGAACGCCGCCCACTCCCTGCTGTCCACCAACGGTGAGGGCGTGCCTGCGTGCGTGTGTGCCTGAGAGTGTGTGTGCCCGAGCATGTGTGTGTGCAGGCATGCATGTGTGTGTCTGTGCCTGTGTGTGTGCAGGCATGCGTGTGTGTGTCTGTGCATGTGTGTCTGTGCCTGTGTGCCTGAGTGTGTGTGTGTGCCTGTGTGCCTGTGTGTGTGTGCAGGCGTGTGTATGCCTGAGTATGTGCATGCAGGTGTAGGCGTGTGATGTAATGGTTTGCATCAAATGCTATTCTCACCACACTGACCCGGTCGGTGAGCATTTTCCCTGGTCTTTGGCTCCTACAAACCACATCTGAGCAGGTGAAAATTCCACCCGGTGAACGTGCCCCTGGCCCCGCCTTCCCTGTTGGACACGGGCCATCCCATGGTTGTGCACGGCGCCATGAACACGGTTGTGATAGTCTCCCCTGGGGAGGGCTGACACCCCCGAGGGAGGAGGGCCAGGGAACACGGGACGCCTGAGGCACTCGGTCTCCATCTGCCCCTCAGACGCAGGCCACCTTGGGAAGAGTGGTGGCGCCCCCCCACCCCCCAAGGCCGGCCGCTCGAGGGGAAGGCCGTAGCCGGGATCCCCTCTTCCTTGGGGACCTCCGTCTGTTTCTCTTAGGGCCTTCATCTGGTTGGACGAGACCCACCAGACCAGGGAGGGTGATCGGCTGTGCTGTGGGTAAATATTACTCTCCTCTCAGAACACCGTCACAGCCACATTCACACACGTCTGACCAGCCCACCCAGACCAGGGAGGGTGATCGGCTGTGCTGTGGGTAAATATTACTCTCCTCTCAGAACACCGTCACAGCCACATTCACACACGTCTGACCAGCCCACCCAGACCAGGGAGGGTGATCGGCTGTGCTGTGGGTTAAATATTACTCTCCTCTCAGAACACCGTCACAGCCACATTCACACACGTCTGACCGAAGAGCTGGTGCCTGCGGCTTAGCCCAGTCGACACATAAATCAGCCCTCACAGCTGCCCAGTTATTCTTTCGATGTTGTTGGCGGATGGCAGAGGAGTGAGGCTCCTGGAGAGTGGGTGGATGGGGGAGGGGTGCTGCTCGGAAATACAGGGCTTCCCCTGGGGGGGCCTCAGGGAGGGGCTTGGAGACGCGGGGAGCTGCGTCAAGGCCGACTCTCTGGGGGTCGGTGACAGGCTCATCACTCCCCTGAGCGTGCCGTGCCCTCTGACCCAGCATCGTCCCCGTGGGGACCCGTGGTGAGGAGCGAGAGAAGGAAGACGAGTGCCCCATGCATGGAGATGTTCGCTGGGGCCATTTACCAGGAGGAAATTGGAACGAACCACCGCTCCCAGCACAGGGTGGTGGCCGAGCGAGCTCCGGGCGGTGCATCCGTATCTGGTGGACGAGGGCGGATGGATGGCCCATTCTCCGTGTTAATCGTGGGTCTTGTTTCACTTTGTTCTGTTTTTAAAGACAAAACCATCAAATTATGGAAGATTACCGAGCGAGATAAGAGGCCCGAGGGCTATAACCTGAAAGACGAGGAAGGGAAACTCAAGGACCTGTCCACCGTGACGTCACTGCAGGTAAGCGGCCAGCTGGGGAGACGGTGATGTCACTGCAGGTAAGCGGCTGGCTGGGGAGACGGTGACGTCACTGCAGGTAAGCGGCCGGCTGGGGAGATGGTGACGTCCCTGCAGGTAAGCGGCCGGCTGGGGAGATGGTGACGTCCCTGCAGGTAAGCGGCCGGCTGGGGAGACGGTGACGTCACTGCAGCTAAGCGGCCGGCTGGGGAGACGGTGATGTCACTGCAGGTAAGCGGCTGGCTGGGGAGACGGTGACGTCACTGCAGGTAAGCGGCCAGCTGGGGAGACGGTGATGTCACTGCAGGTAAGCTGCCGGCTGGGGAGACTGCGGCAGTCAGAAAGCACGTCTGTGGTTCCTTTATTAGCCAAGGAGGATCGTAGGGCTCGAGGTCCTGGAGAGTTGAGCCACAGTCAGCGCAGACCCTGGCTGCGGTCATCTGCCTGCTCCGTGCCTCCATGTCCCCACCTCCAGTGGAGATGACCTTCTCCTGGAGGCCTCCTGAGGACAAGGCGCCCCACGTCCATATAGAGCCTTTCAGCTGCAACTGAGGGTGCAGAGCAAGTCTGCAACCCCTTGTCACACAAAGAGGGAAACGGGCCCAGAGAGGGGCAGGAACTCACCCGAAGCCGCCCAGCTAGTGAGTGGCAGAGCCAGCGTGGCTGAGCTGAGTGGACTCCGAGCCCTTTGCCGAGGGGCAGAGCGGGGCCTGGGGCTGCGACTCTTGCAGCTTCTACAAAGTCTCAGCCTCCAAGATTGCCTGTGATTGACAACGAGCCGGCGGTTAAGCCACGGAGCCGTGCTAAAGCCAGCCCAGCCCTCAACATGATTCAAAGGCCAAAGGACTCCTCTCTTTCCCAGCCGCGGGACCAGAAGGAAGGGTTCCATGGAGTCACGGGCCGGGGTTCAAATCCTGCCTCTGCCACCCCCTGGCGGTGTGACGGGGCGGGCTCCAGGCTCTACAGCCTCAGTTCTTCACCGGGAACAGGGGTGAGCACTGGGGCAGGTGTGTCTTCAAACACTCTGGCTGGCACAGCTCGTTGAACTCTTCACCCAAATCCTGTCACGCGGCATTATCACCCCCATTTCACAGACGAGGGAGCCGAGAGCTGGGATCCAAACCCAGGGCAGGCTGGCCCAGAATCGGCATCCGACTGCTCTGACGTGGCCAGGAGGCCCCTGCCTCACGGGAGAGCGGCAGGACGGTCAGTGGCGTCCCGGGGAGGACTGGAGAAGCCGGCCCCTTCCCGTGCAGCAGGCCGGGAAGCACACGGTGCCGCCGCCTGTGTCCCTGGCTTCCAGACACCGGGAGCATGGTGGGTGCTGCGGACGTGCTTGCTGAAGGAGGTGCTGATCCGGATTTATCCATTCAGGACACATGCTTATTGAGCACCTGCTGTGTGCCAGGCCCAGCTTGAGGCACTGGGAGGCTGCGGTGAACACAGAGCCCGCGGCAGGATGGGGCCTAAGTCTTGTCGGTGTCCCAGTGCCTGGGACAGGCCTGCCTCAGAGGAGGTGGCCCCAGAGGGCCATGAAGGAGCGGGGACCAGTGTCAGGAAGTGACTGCTCTCTTCAGCTCCAGTTTGCACATCCTAGCAGACTTTTAAAAAATATAGT